TATATAGAAAAAAATTAGCCGGGCATGGTGGCGCATGCCTGTAGTCCCAGCTACTCAGGAGGCTGAGGCAGGAGGATCACTTGAGCCCAGGAGTTGGAGGTTGCTGTGAGCTAGGATGACACCACGGCACTCTAGCCCGGGCAACACAGTGAGACTCTGTCTCAAAAAAAAAAAAAAATAATGGCTTAAGCAAGATGATATTTTGTTGCTTTTTCACTTAAAAGTCTGGGGCAGTGGTCCAGGGATGATATGACGGTTTCATAAACAAGGGGCCCGGTTTCCTTCTCTCCTGTTGCTCCACCATCTTCAGCTCATAACCTCCATCTCTTGGGCTGAGATGCTTTGGCTCCCACTGTCACCCCTGCATTCTGGCCAACTGGGACAGGAGAAAAGAGGGAGAGCCTGTCCCAGCCGTTTAAGGGCATAACCTGGAAGTTGCCCACATTTCTTCTGCTCACGCCCCCTTGGCCAAGACTTGGTCGTGTCCTTCCTTACTGCAAAGGAGGCTGAGAAATGTAGTTTTTAGCTGAAGGCCACATTCTAGGGAAAACTTGCGGATTCTATCATAAGAGAAAGAAAAGAAACCTGGGTGCTGGGAGGGAGCTCGCAGTCTCTGGTGTGTGTTCACGTGCAGAGCCCTAGGAATTTGGTTCTGATGCGGGGGACCTGAGGAACTTGCTTGTCGCTGGCACTACCCTGGGGTGACAAATGGCCAGTGGGGATTGGGGGCCCTTGTCTAAGAGAGTTCAAGGTGACAGCCTTCCAGTCTTCCTGTCCCCTACCAGGATGCCAAGGATGGGCGCTTGTTCAACGAGCAGAACTTCTTCCAGCGGGCCGCCAAGCCTCTGCAAGGTATTCCACAGGGACGCGGGCAAGGGGGAGAGAGTCCGGGGTGGCAGCGTGGTCACGACTCCCTGTAGGTGTGGGAATGGTGGGGAATGAAGGCCCAGGTTTGCACCCCATCTGTGCCCACGGCCTCATGCCCGTCACCCTTCAGGCCTCAGAGGAAAGACAGCATGTGCCGGGCCTGGTCTTACCGGCTCTCGAGAGTCAAGTATTAAATTTTCAGGAATACTATAAGCTGGTCGTTATATACAGCTGTTATTTAAAATTAAATTATATAAACTTACAATCAAATAAATTATATTCAAAACAAAAGTAATAATATTCAAAATCTCATCATGTCCTAATTATTTTTCTACATTTTCTATTATCTGTACTCTAGAGGTTATTACATGTATTGCCCTGTATGGTGACGATACTGCCTAGTGGCATCTGGTGTGTGTCTCTCCCAGCTCACACTCAGTCACGTCACGTTGATAGCTTGAAATCCACCGTGGTGGGCGGTGTTTACACCACAGAGATTACACATTCGACCAGTCAGGACTTACTCCCCGGGCAGCCAGCGTTAAACTTGCCTCAGCACACGTTGGTTCTTTTCCACCCCGCTGAGATCTGGAACATAGACAGAGGCACATTCTGGCCGCATCATGGCCAGTTTGGACAGTCATTGATCTCATCAGCTGTACGTGTGAATTTGGAAGTTACTCTGTCATTCTTAGCCTTCCCACCTACTCTGGA